CACACGGGGGTGTGGCACCACGTGTCCGTGCCCCACTTCGCCTGGCGTGTTCAACCACAACGCTTGGGGCGACTGCATTCTACCGTAGAATGGGGGTAGAACGGGGGTAGAACGGGGGGAGGGTTGTAGAACGGGGTAGAACAGCTGTTCAACCCCGTTCTACCCTTACTACCCAGACACTCAGTGGATTGGTATGGAAAATTATCGGGAAAACTCTGAAAACAGGAGGACAATATTGATTCAAGTTATCACATTATAGAAAATCAAGAGAATAGAATTCTAAGGTTGGAGGAGTAGAGACGAAGAGGAGAGGAGGAGCAGAACGGCAAAATGGAAGTACAGTGAAGCTTTGCCACTGACGTTACGTGCCCTCTGGCTGCTATGTTCAACAAGACAGGTACCATCTTCACCTGCATAGAACAAAGGTGTCATTATCATTGTTTTATGATTTTATATAATCCTGCAAATTATCCCAAATACCGCTATAGTAACTTTGCAGTCTATAATGGGAAGATATTATTACTATGGCACTTTGTCACCTGCCATGAGCACCGTCTTCCCTCAAATACAACGCACCCTCATAATGACTGCATCAGACCGGAAAGAGTGTATGTATACCAGGGCTGGGCCGGTAACCGGCCGGTTCAGCTTGCCCGGTTGAACCGGAGCCAGACCAGCCCTGGGGGGGTGAACCGGAAAACCGGTTATAAAAAAATAAAGCCGAATTTACTATTTAGTAATTCTCTCTCTCTTTTTTTTTTTTGGAGGATTCTGACTGCGCTCTTCAAGAGCTGTCGAAATCCGTACTAAAATTTTGAAGGTCCAATTTTTTTTGGGGGGCGCCCCAGGGGCAGGTGGGGATATTATTGGGATATTCACAGAGGTGTCACTTTCAGGGGGAGGGGTCGAGTAAGCAATGTTACTTATCCGACCCCCCGTGGCCCAAGAACTTCAATTCATAGCAGAGGGCACTCTGGACTATGCCAACGGCGGTCGGAGTCCTGCAGCCTGGATGAGGCGTAATAGGAGTGGGTCCTTGCCAAAACTTAGCTTTTCCAGAGTATAGCTCGATGGCCGAAAAGTTATGGGTGCAGGTTTCTGCTCGTGCAGGCAGAGCGTTTCTCTTTTTTTTTTTTTTTTTTTTAAATATGCTGGGTCATCAGTGTCCTCAGTCCGAAAGTATCTCGCCTGCTAGTCTGTCCAGATACATGTAGTGGAGCCACGTGCTTTCTAGATAGATTGACCGAAAAATATAGCTTAGGTCCATTCTTGGCCTTGCACCTCAGACAGAGCCGAAACCCAAACCCATAACTCTTTCCCCAGAGCTTAGTGATGTTGCAGAAGCATATAACCTCAGGAGAGCCACTGCTTTTGCATAGTAATTCCCTCATGGCTGAGGATGGATGAGTATGTCATGCCAATGACAACTGGTCCGTGGTCTGTTGGACCACACTATGCCAAATCGAATTATGGGGCCTGGTGGCCCCCCAATTTTTGAGAAAACGCATGCGGCGGTTGTTCGCCGCTGATCTGCAAAGATAAGTGGTGGAGATCCTCCGCTCGTTGTTTTCTAGAAGTGGGGCCCAAATAACCCCATTTTTTTTTTTTTTTTGGAGCCCACGGCCTCGTGAGGGGCTGGGCAGTCGTGGGGATACCTGTCACTGCCCAGTACCCCCCGTCCAGCCTAATGCGCTAAATTCAACCGCGGGTCTGCCGGGCCGGTCGACTGGCCGGTCTGACCCGCAGGCTCCCGGGCAGGGGAGGGGCCCCCGGTCCAACCGGGGACCATCCCTGATGTATACATTCATTATCAGGGTTTGTTGTGTTCGGGGGAAGAGTGTAGCAGCATCTGTCTGAAAATCTGGCTTCCTGCTTCCTCTGTCAAATCTGGAAAGTGTAGTGCTGCTCTCTCCTCTTGGCCATCTGTTCTTTTTTCGACCTTTGTTTCTTTTCGGGCATCACTTCCCCACACTCCTTCCTGAGCACTGTCGGTGGTCCAGGTGCATGATGACCCTTTTTGTGCCCCGCTCTTTTGTTCCCTTGCTGCCCACGAGACGTCGTCTTATGGTCGCCCCTCTTTTTCTTTCTTTCCTCTCTGAAAGGGGGTAACCCGTAACATTGTTGCGTCGGTGCCATTCCGTCAGAACTCGAAATCCTTATCTGTTTACAATCTTTAGATGGGCTAGGTATGGCTGTGTCTGTTATCAGTCTTTCATTTTAATCCTTTTTTTGTCATCTAAGTTGATTTGACTGTGTTTTGTTTGCGGCCGGCAAGGTTGATCTGAAAGGTTTTTCAACTTTTTTCAAGTTTTTTGGCTATTTAGAGTGGCATTGGTATTGATTGATTGTGTCCGCGCGTGATCCTGTGTGCCACTCTGTGTGTGTGTGTGTGTGTGTGTGTGTGTGTGTGTGTTGTGTGTGTGTGTGTGTGTGTGTGTGTGTGTGCGTGTGTGTGTGTGTGCCCACATGTGCATATTGCAGACCAAAGGCACTTTGGGTTGATGAAGCGGAAGCGGCGGCTTATCAGCCAAAAGACCGTAGTGGAGGGTCAGCTGAGAAAGCAAGCGACCTCAAAGATTCGGATCTGCAGAAAGCTGCTGAAGAAATAGAGGTGAATTTGCCAATTTGTCTTTGTTGAAGATTGGACCTGCTACCTTGAATCTTGATAAAAAACACGAGAGGGGCAAAGGGAAGGGAAAAAAAACAAAAAATTACAGTGTGTTGCCCGCACACTGCGCACAGCCCAATCACGATGCTTTGTTTTTATTTTTGTTGTAAATGAACCTTCTGGGGTTCGATCCCTGGCCAGTGGGGCTTAGGGTTGTGCTCCACAGACTTGAGTTAGGAGAATTCTGAATTTCTCAAACCTTTTTTTTTTTTTTTTCCTTTTAAGTTGTAACTTGTTATAGGAGACGGGAACTGGGAACCCAGCGTCCCTCACAGTAGTCCAGGCAAGGCGGAACCCAGCTGAACAAGGCATTATCGGCCCGGTACGTCAGGGGGACCACTACGAACCCAGAAAGGAAACCTGGGAAAATCCAAAACAATGACAACTGTAATGACCCGCCAAAGCACAGACTGAGAACTCTGCTGATTTCTGGGATTTGCCGCTGGAATGTATGCCTTGCTGAGAGTCCCGCATTCTGCTGTGATTTCTAAGTCTGTGTGTGCGTTTGTGTGCGCCTGGTCTGGGTGCCTGTCTGAGTGCTTGTCGGCCTGAGTGTGTGTGTGACCTGCAAGGGTACTTGTTGGTGGAGAGGCCCCGCAGGGCCGGTACTTACCTGTGGCCGTGACTTTGAGGGTTGCAGAAGGGAAAACACTAAAGTAGCTGGGGTAGGCCCGCGGCACTTAGAGCAGCGGGAAAAACAGCAGGTAGGCCGGTACCATACTTACCTGTGGCCGTGACTTTGAGGGTTGCAGCGGGGAAAAACACTCAAGTAGCGGGGGTAGGCCCGCAACACTTAGAGCAGCGCGGAAAACACTCAAGTAGCAGGTAGGCCGGTACCACTGAAGTAATGATAGAAGTATTGGGTAGTGGAGGCTGAGCAGAAGAAGACAAAAGTTGGCATTTTTAGAAGCCCAGTAGCTGTAGGTTAGAGGTAGGCCGGTACCAGTCCAAGTAGAGTCTAGGGCCTGTCCAGTCGATATCAGAGCCTGCAATGATGTTTCCCTCCGAAAGGGAGGAGGTACTGGTTGCTGGGAGGCCGCTCGGCCTAGGAAGTCACCGCCCAAGAGGCAAGAAGGCCGCTATATCTTTGGGAGGAGCAAGCAGCTCCTCCTCATTTGCGGTGTGCAAGGATTGGCGACATACTGCTGGAGCCAAGCGCTGGACCTGGAGCTCTGCCTGGAGGAGGAGAGCAGCTGGGCGCTCAGCCTGGCTATGGCGAGCAGCCCAGCCTGAGGAGGTGGAAGGGGGCGAAGGAGGAGAGTGGTGAGGTACCTACCTGGCTATGGTGGAAACCATCTTCATCACCTTGTTAGGCGCTGCATCTGGTTGTGCACCAAGGAAGCTCCATGCAAAGTCAGGCATGGCGGCATGAGGAGCAGCGACGTAGCTGCTTTGTGTTGTCCAGTGGGACAGGAGGGCAGAGCCCTTAGTAGTCCGCCATAGCCTAGGCATGTGAGAGGAAGAAGAAGGGGGAAGCCATGGCTATGGTGGACCTGTTGTTGTGTCAGCAGTAAGAGGGAACTTCGGATATTGATTCTGGTTCATCCACTCATTGTTATTATTATTATTGGAAGAAGAATAAGATTGGTGAAGTGAAGCTTGGGGCAAAAAGGAAAACAAAACAAACTGCAAAACATATTGCGTCTCAAAGAAAGCCTGGGAAAAGCCCGGGCAAAGACAACAGGACACAGCCTAGCTGATCTATTCTTATTTCAAACCGAAAGAAGGGGAACAAAACGAACTACCAAAGTCTTCCATCCAGCTGCACAGAAACAATCCAGCCGAGCGTCGGGCGGTCTGTTCTAGCGCTTGGGCCGAAAAGGGAAAACAAAGCTAACTGCGAACATCTTGCGTATAAGAGGAGCCGTACAGAGAAGAGCTACACAAGAAACACTCCAAAGGAGAAAGAGTAGTGAATTGCAACTGCAGCTGCTCACCATCCGAAGTGCTGTTTGCTACGAACAGACCTGATGAAAAAGCCGTATGTACGGGAGCAACCCAAAAATGAAAGTAACGAACTGCAATTGCGGAAGTGTACCACCGCTATCCTGTTCTCACCGTCCGCTGAGTCACTGTCAACTGAGCAGAGGAGAGCGCTACCTGAAGACAATTCAAAACGAAAAGTGGCACACTGCGGTTGCCTGTGCAGACCACAGTTGCTTCAAAGAAATCCTTGGGAAACGAGGCATGGCTCTTGTCTGTTAGTCGAGGGAAAGCGCATTTAAACCACCAGTACCTTTCCCCGCTTGAAAATCAAATACGCGCCGGCATATTCGGGAGCCAAGCGCGGCTGGGTACTACGGGACCGTAATGGCGGGTGGCGCAAGCCAATGTGAGGCCCGTGCCAGTTCGTTTGTTTTTGGCACGCAGGGCGATGTCAGGCTCTGCATCGACAGCTGAGAAAGGTACTGGTGGTTTAAGAGCGGATTGCGGTTTTGTTTGGCTGCTCCTCTTCTTATTTTATAATATATATTGTATCTTTTGTTGTCCAAGCCAAGTGCGACTGCTGGAAGAAACGATGAATCTTTGTTTTGCCTGTGGAGGCCCGTCTTCCTTCAAAGAAAATCCTCAGAAGTCGCTCTGCGGAGCACAGACCGTAGTTTGTTAGTTATTTTCCTTTGTAGTACACAGCTGCTTTGTCTTGAACCTGGGCCTGTGGGCCTGTGGGACTGTGGGACTGTTAGACTGTTAGGCTAGAGTTGGTAGGCTAGGGGTATGAGGGCAATAAGGTCCACGTTTAGTTATTTCCCTTTGCACTATTTGTAGTGCAGCTGTTGGGTTTCTAACCTGGGCCTATGGGACTGTAGGCTGGAAGACTACCGTCTTCCCACAAACCCAGGGCACCCTGATCATCATGAACGTATACGAGTATTATCTTTCTGGTCTGGTACGGTCGTAAGGAGGGTGGATGGCGTTCAGGGGGGAAGATGGTACAGTTGTAGGCTTGCGGTACCAGGGTAGCAGGGGCAGTGTCGGCATACCTAGAGCTTTCCATTTCGGGAAAAACATTTCCACCTGGCTGTCCAATTTGCTCTGAAGTTCTTTGGGCCTGGCTCCGCTACGTTCAAGGAAAGTGTTTCTCCTTGTCCGCAAGGGATGGCAGGATCAGGGCTCAGCCAATAGCTGCTTGTTACTGTCGAGGTACTTCGCACCTCGCTCCATTATGCAACGTTTCTAAATGTATCTGGAGCTGATAAACGTCCTGATACAATCAAAATGTTCGGTCAGTGTGAATGTGTCTGGACCATGCCGTGCTCCAGATACATGTAAAACGTTGTGTAGTGGAGCGAGGCCCTTTATCATTTGGATCCCTATCTGTGTTATCTTGCCATGCTGGGGTGTGTATCCAAAAATAGGAAAATAGTAAAAATACCTGGGCTACCAGCCGAGCCGCCCGGGTCACCTTGTTTGCCCGGACGGCCCGGCCGTGCAAGAACCAAGGAAGGTCCCAGCAAAGGGAAAAAAAAAGAACCCAAAAAATCCGAGCGAGTCCTATGTTATGCAGAAAAATAAACTCAACAACTTCTGCCTCAGGGTCACATCGAAATGCTTTATCACATTTAAAAATTGCAATGAACCTCTCAGTTCGCCACCAATGAGGGTACACAATCACACACCATGCATGAATGAGATCACACGAAGTTCACACTGGAGGCCAGAGAGATGAAAACCAGGTAGCGCAGCTTCAAAATTCCAACAAATTATCATATGAGCAAATTAAGAGTTCCCGTCACAAGCGCTCAACAGCGCTGACCCAAGTAACCAGTGTCTTCACTCAGGTAAGTATCCCTCACAATGCTCTTCTCTCTTCCTCTCAGTCTTCTCTCTGTCCACTACCTCCCTGTGTCTTCTCTCCCTACTTGTATGCACTCACACACCTACTACTCAAGGACCAATTCTGAATACACCCACTGCTAACTCTACTAACCCCTCTGATGTTTACTACTAACTACTAGCACTGGTGCAGCTGTGGCTGCCTTCCCTCTGCCAGCGCTGGGCAGCTATCGCCGCTCCCTCTCTCTCTCCCTCTGTTAACGCAGCTCCCTGGCTCAGCGCTTCGCCCCTCACAATAGCGCACAAGTGCACCAGCACTTCCATACTTCTTGCGAATGAGCAAGCTGCCGAATGAGGAGGCTGGCCAGTCCTTATATTGTCTTGGACCATGGCTACGATCCGGACCCCCGGAAAGGGATCCGGACTCTCCGGGATCCGGGAGCCGGTACCACTTTCTGGTAACCGGTCCGGATGGAGGGCCCCCAGGCCGGCCAAACTTTTTTTGGGCGGCCCAGGGCGTTTTTTCACGCCCTGGGCCGCCCACAAAAAAATTGGCCCATATTTTTTTGGGCCTTTGGCCACCGTCCGAAAGGGGCGGAAAATGTCTTGGTTCGTTTTTTTTTTTTTTTTGTAATCATAGGGGGGCAGTTCGCGGCCGCCACTTTTCGAAGGCAGCAGTTCTCCCCGCGCGCCATTTTTCGAAGGCATCTCCCCGTAGCGGCGACGTGCGCGTAGGGCAGTAGCAAGCAGCTGCGCGGCGACCAGCGCGTGCAGCAGGGGGAAGCAGCGCGAGTGACTCTCTCTCTCTCTCTCTCTCTCTCTCTCTCTCTCTCTCGTGTGGCCGTCATCTCTGCCCTCTGTTATGGGCGTCCTCCTCCTCCAGCTCCTCCTCTTCCTCCTCCTCCTCTTCTTCCTCCTCTCTCTCTCTCTCTCTCTCTCTCTCTCTCTCTCTCTCTCTGTCTCGCGCGCGCGTGTGTTGCTGTCATCTCCCCCCTCTGTTATGGTCGTCCGCCTCCTCCTCTTCTTCCTCTTCCTTCTCTCTCTCTCTCTCTCTCTCTCTCTCTCTCTCTCTCTCTCTCTCTCTCTCTCTCTCTTACACGCGCATGTGCGTGGCGACATTTTTATCTGACAGCACCTTAGTCCATACTCACACGGGGATTTCTTTTCAATGTATCTGTTGGTCGGTGTATATCTTCCTATGTTCTTGTGGAAGATTCCTTCTCATTTTGCACATTGGCAGGCTGCTCAGTTGATGCACACACGGAAAAAAAAGGGAAAAAAATGTGGCAGTGTATATTTCCATGTTCTCTCTGAAGATACATTTCGATTTTGCTCATCCTACACACACACCAACAGTCACGCTTTTTTTGAGTGTATACACTGTATAGCGAATATGACAACACACCGAGGTAATGTATGTAAGTACACTTTTTTTTTTTTTTCCGTGAAAATACGATATATCCGGATGGGCATCCGGAAAGGGGATCCGGACAGAAAACTCTGGTGTTCCGGAAGTCCGGAAGGGCCCGGAAGTTCCGGGTTCCGGGGCCCGGTCCGGCGTAGCTATGTCTTGGACCGAACTTCAACTCGTGCCAGGCTCTGCTTCTTGGGGCTTGACTTGGTTCTGGTACCGCATCCCACGGCCTGTCTGCTTTGGAATGTCAGGGCCTTGTACCTTTCTGAATTTTCATCGGTGTGCTGCTGCTTGGGCCTTTGAGTCACGGCTTTTCGATTGTTGCACATGGTTTTTGACTGTGGACTGTGACTCTTGCCTCTGGGACACGACTCTTGCCTGTGTAAGTGTCCTTTGCCCGTGGGATGTGATTTTCCAATATGACTCTTCATTATGAGACGTGAATTTACCCCTGGGATATGACTGTTTGCCGTCTACCTGTTGGACTCGACTGCTAAGGTACCCGACTGTGACTTTTTTGAAACTGACCGGCTTGGCCTTTCTTGGACCTGGCTGCGGACCCTGAAACTTGAATTTGGGTCTAAATCGTGGAAGGCCTTTCAAAATGGGATATATATATATGTATAGCTGCCCGGTAAACCGTAGGCAGAGAGGGAGAAGAGGACAACAAACGAGGGGCTGTGGCAAACTGTTTCGTCGGAGATTCACCGACTCATCAGGAGGCTGAACTCCTGATCAGTCGGTGATACTCCGACGAAACAGTTTGCCACAGGCCCTCGTTATATACATATATTTCGGCCTGACTGGGCAAGTGGTCCCGGGCCACTCTGGTAACATAGAAAAATACTAATTTAGTAAATAATTTTTAGTTGCCTTGTTTTTCCATGAAGTTTTTGGCTGTGTATGATGAGAAACCACCTGTCATCATTGTGTGAAAGAATTCGAGAGAAGGGCAAAAAAAAAAGTTAAAAAAACTGTGAAAAAGAAAACAAAAACAAACCACACATCATCATGTGTGTATGCGGAGTCGGAGAGGTGGTAAGTATTCCGGATAGATCAGGACTCTTGGGAAAAAGAAACAAAAAGTAAAAATGAATAGGTCGGGACTCAGGATGCTCACACGTTCAATTTCTTTCATTTTCTTCAAATTCAAAAATGATTTAATCATTCTTAATGCTTACTAACCTTGTTTCGGTGTTTCCATCTTTTGAATCCTTAGTGAAACGGTTTTCACCATTGGCAGTAGCAGATGCAGATCCCAGGGCTCGATCCCTAGACCTTGCCACACCTGTGTACAGAATCGAGTCGACCCCTATGTGTTTGAACCCGTGACCTGTGTTTTGGTGTCTGTCGTAGGTCTGTGTAACTGTAGGGGTTCGATCTGTAGGTCTGTCGAGTAGGAGTAGTTGTGTAGAGGCCGTAGCTGTAGTAATTCTGAAAGGTCAAGGTCGTAGCTGCTTCTATCTCTGAGCTTTGTGTGGGCGGACAGCGCCAGTGTGAACTGCCAACTGTTTGTATGTATGCGAAGTGAAGAAGCGAGTGAGTCTGATTGCACTTAGGGTTGATGCCCCCCCCCCAAAAAAAAAAAAGAAAAAAAAAAAGGTAATCGAATGAAAACATGAATGAAAGATTAAAACAGGCTTAATTGAAAAAAGAAAAAATCCATATCAATGGCTGGGGCTGATGTATGTTGTTCATGTTTTCTGTTGTACTGCTCTAACCTCGGGTGCTGACAGGTTAGTCCGTTGGACAAATACAACGTAGAACTTCTCGATAATGTTCACCCCGTCAAATGGATTAATCCGAAGCCTGCAGGAAGGTAAATCTTCCATCTGGCCCTTTGGACTTTGGAGTGTGCAGTGTACCCGACCTCTTCTCTCTCCATATCTTCTGCTTTGTTAAAAAAGATTAGTAGCACTCTAACCAACTGCGCTGTTTCCCAATTTGGGTAAAATAACGGCGGTAAGAACTGTTTGCCCCCCCCCGGGTAAAACAGGAAACAGTTTTTCCGGGGGGGGGGGGGGGGGGAGGGGGGGGGGGGGGGGGGGGGGGGGGGGGGGGAGAAGGGGAGCACAATAGACGAATACCAAATGATGTTTTTTGGCCCTTCAAAGGAGGATAATGATTTGATATGCTGAAAGAGAAAGAGAGTCAACTGCTTAAGCCTTTTATAATCCCCCCCCCATGTTGCTGAATGGTACACGCATCTTTTTTGTGTTAGAATCCCCCCCCATGTTGCTGAATGTCACAGCATGTGTAAGATAATGTGGTGGAAATATGATCAAATATCGCTGCAATTTCATCGACAAGGTGCGTTTACAAATTTGATTTTCTGCATTGACAGTGCACTGAAAACATGCATCAAAATGAATGGCCCCCCCCTCCACCCCCCCCCCAATCCCCGGGCTGTGCGGATGATGGATGCAATCGCAGGTACAACCTGGTCGTGATTGGTGCGGGAGCTGGAGGTCTGGTGACAGCGGCAGGAGCGGCGGGAGTGAGTGCCAAAGTGGCGCTTGTCGAGATGAACCTGTTGGGCGGCGACTGTCTCAATGTGGGATGCGTACCGTCTAAGGCTCTGATCAAGTCTGCCAAGGTCGCTGCCACGGTCAGGAATCCGACGGCATATGGTGTGGATGTCAAGGGAGAGGTCAGTGTGGACTTCCCGAAAGTCATGGAGAGACTGCGTCGGCTGCGTGCTGGTGAGGTCTCAGTACCATTTTACCTCTCTAAAGGCGTATTTTACTATTTTTTTCACACTAGAACTTTTCATGACCTAGCTGTGGATGTGATTGCCGTCAGATCCATCCAGGTCAAGCTGTAATTGCGGCCAAATACGTTCAGAAGAGTGCTAGTGTGAGTATGCCTTACACAGGCCCAGCCTGCAGAAAATTGCAAGTTACCGGGTTCAGAACCTTTCCGGAATGGGGCTCGGGGCTCGGGGCTCGGGCCTACTGGACCACAATGGCTGGCGGCGCCAGGCTAAAAAAAAATAAAATTGTGTGCGCCGCTGGCGGTTCAAAAACCGCGGTGCGCAGTGCAGCGCCTCCAGGCCTGGGTGTTGTAGTGGTGGTTTAAACCGCCACTACACGCCAGCCATCGCCCACGGGCCTTTTTCGGAGACCCGCCTGCCGTCAATTTATTTTTGCGACGGCGCGCAAGCCTCCGAAAATTTAGGAGAGGCTCAATCGAACTCTCAAACTTGGCTTGGGCCATGTACTGGTGCTTTAAGACTGCAAAACACTTTATAGTCTCAATATATATTGATATCTTTATAGCTCCGCATAGGTTTGATAAGCAGTTAAGGAGGAAGGCGGTGTGAACAGCTGGCTGGCTACATATATGGTGGATAGGCACACTATTGTCTTCTTCCCGGAATGGAACACACCCTCAACATGAATGTATATGAGCCACCTTTCCGGCCTGATACAGTCGTAAGTAGGGTGGATGTGTTCGGGGGAAGACGGTAGCAACAAAACTCTTGTGTGTTTGAGGAATCTTTTTTTAGACTGTAAAGCGCTTTGCTCTCTTGTTTCTCCTCCGTGTGTCTTTTCTGCCACGTCGCTTTCTCCCGTATTTTTTGAAATAGTTTTACTACCTTCGTACTAAGTTCGTAGTAATTTTTATTTTTATATGTATGCCACAACCAACAAAGCTGAACGAATTCATGCAATTGAAGCTTAATACCTTCGAAGCGATGCTATCCAAGAGGCTTGGATAAAAGTGTTTACAAAACCAATCGTCAATGAGGGAAGCAGCAAATGACAACAGGACAACAAAATCAAAGCAAAGACAAAGCGAAGACAAACCAAAGGCAAAGCAAAGAGACAATAAACGGAAAGAGAAAGACGAATCACCTCTTAAAATCGATCGGCAACGAGAGTCTCAATGTCGTCCAGTCTCTCTCCGCTAAGTCTTCTTGTTCCTCAATCGCCACCTCATGTCAACCCTGACTATGGCTGACTCTTTTCTGGACAAGGCTCTCCAGTCCTCCCACCTATGGTACCGTCTTCACCCGAAAAGAATGCCCAGTCATTATCACTGTATCTAGACTATAGACGCGTCTGGTCAGGAAACAGACATCATTTTCGTATGTATTGCGTTGAATAAGAGCACACATACCAGGGCTCGACGAACGGGAACCAGGCCACGAAGCGGCAACAGCAGCTGAAGTGCAATCAGCCTTCTCGTACAACCTTATCTTCGGGTTAAAACGGTAGTCTAATCTCCTCTCGTTGCCATATCTCGCAGAGGTCCCACACCGCAGGAATGAAGTCACGACCGAGGAATACTAGTCCCTTGGTAGTCTTGACGTTTTCTTTTTCAATGCCGCTATGACTGCCGGACACCAAGCAAGCTTCTTTCGCCCTCAGGCCCCTCTCTCTCTCTATCTCTCTCTCTTATACACACACACACACACACACACACACACACACACACACACACACACACACACACACCCTTTCTTGGTGGCAGGATGGTGCACAACTCCAGTGTCGCGCCGAACTAAGTGCAAGGCAGAATGTGTCACAGCTGGACTGGCAGAGGAGAAGATATATATTGCTGGGCCGCAGCAGCTGTCTGAGTGACCTCTGCACCCAATAAGCCCTGGATTCATCTGGAAACTTTGTCTGGATCGTTGGATACGCATGCGATCTGTGGCCAAAGCCGACTTCTAGAGAATTCTTTGACTTTAACGTTCCCACGTCTGGATACCTGATTCCGGGCCTGGCTGTCCCGGAGAGCCTGCTGTCTCTCAGTTTTGCCAGACTGAAAACATTTATCAGACCCTTCCCCAGGCTTCTGTGGACTTGCACCAACCGTACAACCCAGAGACTGATTCGGGACCCAGTGGAATCTGAGATCCAGTTGAATTTGGTACTTGGTCTAATTGGCAACCCAATTGAATGCGGGTTTCCTCAGCATGTCTCACACTTTGCATCGATATGTTCGTAGGTTAAGGTCCCGCAGCACCAACATGTCCGCAGGTTTGGGTCCGGTACCACCGGCATGTCCGCAGGTTCACGCTTGGTTCCAGATTGGCGCTGCCTCTGGTCTACATTGCATGATGATGTGGCGCTGCCTCTGGTCTACATTGCATGATGATGTGGCGCTGCCTCTGGTCTACATTGCAT